GTCCTTTCAGGATGTCAGAGCAGAGTGTGTATCAGTGCAAAAGATAATGACATAGTAGGAAGGATACTGAATCAGGCAACACCTTGGAATGTGGTTGGATAAACGCTCCCTTATAATCAACCTTTCTTCCGGCTGACAGAGATGGAAAGGAAAGACACAGTGCATCTCTGTCGTCTAGGAATTAGCGATGACCTCTGGGAAACAGAGCTTCAGAATTGATGACGGGGCCCAATGGGTAGCTGTGTATTGTAACCATACTTGTTCTAACAACTGGGTTTTATGTGCAACACACATGCATATGTACACAGTCCCTCTCCCTAGACGCCCCCCATACACACATGTTGTCAGATTACCCCAATCAGAATAATTCATAACAGAGTGATGAGAAAAGTAGTCAATAATTTTTAGAGACAGATGAAGTTAACAATATTTCAGTTAGGATACATATTTTGCCAAACATATTTCTAAATATTTCTTCCTTTTCACAAAAATGTAAGATTCTTTTTTCTAGCTACTTGTTATTTCCAAATGCCAAAGTGCTCAAGGAGTAAAGTTTGGAGCAATGGATGTGCTACACTGGCCAGCCAAGTTAGACAGTCCCAATTTTGTCACACATAAAAGAAACAGTGTGATACTGACCATCATGAGTAAGGAAGACGCTGTTAGCGACCCTGTAATAGAGGTGATGATAATAGAGTTCATTTCATCCAATTCAGTTTATTCATTCACTCACTCACTCACCGCAGTACCATTTATTAAGCACCTAGGCACCACAAATGACATTAAGCACTACAAGAGAACAAGGATAAAATAAAACCATGTTCTTTGAACTTTAACCAAAGAAAAGCCAAGTGATGGCTCTAAATATCTAAATGTATTGTTTGAAGGAATGATGGGGCAACAGAAAAACCCAGAATTCATCAGGATCAAGGTTGCTACCTGACCAGTTGTCTGGGCTCCCATCACCTTACGGGGCCACAAATGTAGACAGTACATGGTAAAAACAAACACAGGTCTTCTCAACACCCATGCTATTACTTGACAGTTTCCTTTCACGCCCTGCTCTTTCTGAACGTGGAAAACTAAGTGCCAGTATGAACATTATTATGTCTTATAACTAAACCACACCATGCTTGTGTTGCTTACAAAATGTAAAATATTTACCTGTGCTAATTCAGTTTTGGAGATTAAAATATTTCATTCCATAGGGATTCCCATTTTCACACCAACTTGAACAAAAGACGTTGTAAAATTGTTGTGCAAAGTGATGAGGATTTGAGAGATGTACCTTTTCAGCATTTACTACCTGTGGAAAGGTTGAGATCATTTGTAACATTTTGGCAACAGAAAGGAACAGATGGCATCTGACTGCATCAGGGAGAGGACAGTGAGCCTTAGCAAGTTGGCAGAGCCACCTGGGCTAATTCACAGGAGAAAAAGAAATGAAACATTAGCACCCAAATAGTTTGGCAGGATTTTTTTTTCCTTTAAAGAAACTGGAAACAATTTATACTTTTAATTTTTTTCTTTAGCTGCCTCTTAAAATCATCTAAAATGCAGAAGTATATTTCTTTGGCCCACTTGGTTACATGACTAATTCATGAACAAGTATGCACTGTATACCTACTGTGTGCATATTTTTCATAAGTTTTATTGAGATATCATTTGCATAACACAATTCACCCATTTAAAGTGTACAGATTCAGAAAAATAAAGTGTACAAATTCAATGGCTTCATATATTCACATTGTTGTACATCTAATTACCACAATCAACTGTAAAATATTTCATTACTCCAAAAATAAACCCTACACCCTTTACCCCCATCTGCCTGCCATTGCTCCCAGCCCTTATAGATTTGCTCATCTTTAACATTTCGTATAAATAGAATCATACCGTATACGATCCTTTGTGACTGGTTTCTTTCACTTAGCATAATGCTTTCAAGGTTCATTCATGTTGTAGTATGTTTCTTTTCATTGCCAAACAAATTGTATGGATATACTACATTTTGTTTATCCATTCATCAGTTGATGGGCATTTGGGCTGTCTCCACTTTTTGGTATTATGAATAATGTTGCTATGAATCTTTGTGTTCAAGTTTTGTGTGGACATAATGCTTTCATTTCTCTTGGGTATACACCTAGGAAAGGAATTCCCAGATAGTTAATTCTATGTTTAAGCGTTTGAGGAACTGCCAGACTGTTTACCAAAGCAGCTGCACCATTTTACACTTCCATCAGCAATGTATGTGGGTTCCAATTTCTCCACACCCTTGACAACACATGTTATTTTTGTCTATTTAATTATAACCATCCTAGTGGGTGTGAAATGGCATCTAATTTCCATTAGTCTTTTCACCTTCACAATAATTTTATTTGGAAGATTTTTGTAGAGGAGAGAAAGGTGTGAAAGCTCCTTCTTTTATAAACTTTAAAGATTATCTTAATGCTTAGATATGATTTTTTTTGCCTGATCCCTCCTCACCTCTCTTTATATTTATAATATAATCTACCTCAATTTTTTTTTCTTTGATGAGGACTATCCCTTATCCAATCTCCATCCATATAATTTGAGTAGAGCTGGCCCCTGTCCCCCTAGCCCAAGAATGAACACTTGAATCAGGTAACTAGAACACTTGTCTTCGACCAGGGTCTAGTTGGGAGAGAAAAACTACACCAGTTATGTGTACAAAGAGAATTTAATACAAACAGATATTAATTGGGTATCCAGTTGTTTACCAGGACACTAAACATGTAAAAAGAGAACTCTAAGAATTCTGGAGGTAGCAACTGCAGGAAGCAGCTTCCGCCTTTAAAGCACGGAGAAGAAAAGGAAGAGGTTAGAATGATTAAAATAGAATCGTAGAGAAGGAGCCCTTGGGGCTGAAATCTCTAAGGAGGTAAACTCTAATCCATTGGTGCAGATGTCTCTCAGCTCAGAGGAGGGGCCCCATGGGTCTGATACCCAGACACATCTCATAAGAATGGGCTCTGGCCAGCTAGTGCTGGTGTCTGGTTCTCTGCTGCAGGGAGAGGGGTGGAGGCAATAAAGCTGTTTCTGCAAGTGTTACAAATTGGATTTAGGGACCATTGGTCATAAACTGATGCAGCTTGAGTGAAGAAGTGACTCTCACAAGAACCTCAAGCCGTCAAGGGGTCTACAACAAGCTCACAGGCAGAAGCGTGTCCTTTCTTCTTCCACCCTCCTTCCAAGTCCTGCCGTAGTGCTCCTCACTGGCAGAATCTAAAAGAAAGCAGCTGCCAAAGAACTGTGGTTTGCAGAGTTCCAGCTCCAGCACCACAGTGTAGAGTGTGGACAGGTGGGCTTGGGGCTGGCACAATCCACCGTTTTGGCTACTCAGCATCCATGTGCATCCTTCTTTATACAGCTAAACTTTCATACTACCATTAAATAACTCCCTGTTTCACCTAACATGATGTAACTGTCCTTCATACAAATGAAGGTATTCTCACTCTCTTCACAAAATGAGAAGATGCAAAATCCTAAGGGTCACTGTAGCTATCTCTAGGCTATATTAATTACCCCTCAATTTTGATCTCAGTCCCAGCGGAAATTCTGTTATCTACAGATTAAATGGTAAAGTTAACCTCAAAAAAAATACTCTTTGATATAAATCACAGCAATATTTTTTTGGATCCTTCTCCTAAAGTAAAGGAAATAAAAGCAAAAATAAACAAATGGAGCTAATTAAGCTTAAAAGCTTTTGTACAGCAAAAGAAACCATTTACAAAACAAAAAGATAACCTGATTGGGAGAAAATATTTGCGAATGATATAACTGATAGGGATTAATATCCAACATATCTAAACAGTTCATACAACTCAGCATCAAGAAAACCAAACCACCTGATTAAAAAATGGACAGAAGTACCTGAATAGACATTTTTTTCCAAAGAGGAAATGCAGATGGCCAACAGGCACATGAAAAGATGCTCAGTATTGCTTATCAGGGAAATGCAAGTCAAAAACACTATGAGATGTCACCTCACACCTGTCAGAATGGCTGCCATCTAAAAGACCACAAATAACAAATGTTGACGAGGATGTAGAGAAAAAGGGAGCCCTCTGTTGGTGGGAATGTAAATTGGTGCAGCCATTATGAAAAACAGTATGGAGGTTTCTCAAAAACACTAAAAATAGAAGTACCATATGACCCATCAATTCCAGTTCTGGGTATATATATATATATATATATATATATATATAAAACAAACCCAAAACACTAATTCAAAAAGATACATGCACCCCCCGTGTTCATAGCAGCATTATTTATAATAGCCAAGATATGCAAACAACCTAAGTGTTCATCAACAGATGAACAGATAAAGAAGATGTGATATATTACACAATGAATTACTACTCAGCCATGTAAAAGAATAAAATTTTGCCATTTGAAGCAACATGGATGGATTTGGAGGGCATTATGCTAAGTGGAAAAAGTCAAGACAGAGAAAGACAATTACTGTAGTATATATCACTTATATGTAGTATCTAAAAAACACAACAAACTAGTGAATATAACAAAAAAGAAGCAGACTCACAGATACAGAGAACAAACTAGTGGTTACCAGTGGGGAGGTGGGGAGGGCAATATAGGGGGTGGGGGAGTGGGAGATACAAACTATTGGGTGTAAGATAAGCTACAAGGATGTATTGTACAACATGGTGAATACAGCCAATATTTTGTAATAACTGTAAATGGAGTGTAACCTTAAAAAATTGTATAAACAAAAATAAATAAAAATGCATATGAAGAGAAAAACACTTGAATAAAATAACTAGGGAAAGAAGGAGACAAGATAGTATATATATGAGTGTATAATTCTATTACATATAATATATCATATATACATACACTTATGTATGTATAACATTTACATAATGTATGTGTACAGGTGTATATATGTATATACATATATGGATAGAATCATAGGTACATATACACATAACAAAGAAGAAAATATTCACAGCTGTTAGAAACATAATTTATTTAACTAGTCACAAGTCCATATTTGATATATTAAACTTCTTTCTTCCATTATTGTTTATTGCTGTGTAACAAACTACCCCAAAACTTAATGGCTTAAAACAACATTTTTCTCACATGGTTTCCATGGGTCAGGGATTCAGGATTGGCTTAACTGAGTGGTTCTGCCTCCCATGAAGTCACAGTCAAGATGTTTGCTGGGTTGCAGTCATCAGAAGGTTTGAGGAGGATTAGAGAATCCACTTCCAAGATGGCTCGCTCACGTTGCAAGTAAAGTCATGCTGGCTGTTGGCAGGAGGCTTCCTTTTCTCTCCACATAGAATTCTCTAGAGCTTAAACAGCCTCACAATATAGGAGCTGGCTTCCCCCAAGAACAAGTGCTCCAAGAGAAAGCAAGATGGAAGCTACTATGTTTTTAGGACCTAGCTTCAGAAGTTACACACCATCGTTTTCATAATATTGATATACTGGTTACATGAGTCAGCTCTATCCCGTGTGAAAGAGGACACACAGGCTCATAAACACCAGGAGGTGAGACTATTTGGGCACCATCTTGGAGGCTGGCTATTCCACTACCCATTCTGTTTCTTCTGACATCAGGCAGAACCTCACTTTGTTCTTTAATTGGTGAAGTAACACAAGCCTTCATTCCTGAAGTATATGAATATATAGTAGTTTTGCCTCCCTTTGTTTGCAGTAGTTTTTAATTAACATTTACTATCAGATATAGAAGCACCTAAGTAGCCTCTTAAAGACTCTCCTTGATTCCAGAAACAGCCCTCCCTACTCTTATCTTGTAGCAGCAATCCAATTTGCTAACTGAAATCAGGATCAGTCATCCTAGCCAGTATAGTAACTCTCTTTTTTGCCTGTTGGTTCAGAAGCATAAGAAACTCCCAGATGACCTGGTGACAGTCTCATCTTCCAAATCACTGGAATTATTGCTGCACCCTTGGTAGAACATTTGTCCTTTGGGAACGATATTTCCAATCCAGCAGAGATCAAAGTCATGGGGGAGGAAATAAAAATTCTCTGAGTGGGTTATAAGATGTCAAGGTGAGAAGAAGAATAGTACTTCCACTTCCATCATTTAAGTTCAGGACCTGTGAATTCTAGGTATGGAAGAGACGCACCACATGGTGGCCTCTGATTCAAAGCTTATCGTGCATCTTGCAAGAGAATATCCATCCTTTCAAGGTGCTGTCTCTAAACAGGCACTGTAAATAGTGACATGCTGAAGCAAGACCATTTAATACCACAAATTCTTTGATCAGAAGCCGTGTTAGCAGAATACCATGATGGTAAATAAGGCATTTTGTTAAGTGATACTGATGGAAGCATTATAAGAAAGAAAAGAAAATCCATATACAGAATAGGCCCTGTTCCTTTAAGGGTAAATTTCAACTCCCTCCATGATGGTTACCAACCTGCCACCATACGGCTGACTGGTTCCTTTCCCCTCCCCTAATTGTGAGCTCAGGGTTGTCTCTTTTCGGCAGGTTAGGCATTCAGCAGCAGTGCTAGCCAGGTTAGGTATGAAGACCATTTCTGCTGCTGTAACTGCTTTGTTCACGGGCCCAATGAACAAGCACTCAATGGCAGGAAAAGAAGCTGACATCTACAGAAAGTGCCATTTTGACCACCTGATACTTGACAGCCTCCTCTACAGTGAATGCCTGATGGATTTTTCATGTGGGACACAAATATCTTCACACTCTGTGCCCATTCGGAAAGATCCATCCATATACCTCTTCACCAGACACTCTTCTAACCCATCTTCCAATCCTATACTTCCCAAGTCCCTAACTTGACTAACATGTTTGTTGCACTTGCTACTTCCTGCTCATCAAATTCAACCTGCACAATGTCATCAACGTT